GTGTATGTATGCTTTGTGTATGTGCGTGAATGCTTTGCAAGGGAGGAAGACTATTTCCTCAGGGCTAATTGGTGCAGGTGAGCTGAACTTGAAACAGAATCGGTTTTATCTGATGAACCACGGTTTTGCTCGTAGGGAAAAACTGACTATGAAAATATTTCCCACTTCTCATAACCTATCTTTTCTCTCTACTTCTGTTTTTGCACTCAAGGGCATTTTCACATGACCAGCATTAGTAGTTTTTTGCACACTGTAAGAATAAAATTAGATATAGAAAATTGAAAGGACATAAGCACACACACAAATACACAAGGACCTAAACCATTTTGAACAGGAATTATAGTTAAAAATAGTGTTATATTATATTATATTATATTATATTATATTATATTATAAAAATGTATTAAAATGTTATAAAAATTGATTATGCAGGTACTCTGACTGGACCTTTTATCCAAATTTCTTTTTTTAATTTTCCATAATATTATGAAGATTTAGCATTTTAATTTGCAGAAGATTGTATATATGTCAGGAGGCTGTACTGTAAAAAAAATTGATTGGTAACACTTTAGTATAGGGACCAATTCTCACTATTAACTAGTTGCTTATTAGCATGCATATCACTAGCATATTGGCTGTTTATTATTAATTATAAAGCACATATTCTGCATGATCATATTCTAAAATCCTACCCAATACCTAAACTTAACAACTACCTAATTAACTATTAATAAGCAGCTAATTAGGAGTTTATTGAAGCAAAAGTCATAGTTAATAGTTAGTTAATAGTGAGAACTGGACCTTAAAATAAAGTGTGACCAAATGATTTTTCAAAATTAAAATTTTTTTTAAAAGAAAATACTGTTTCAGTCAGTCTTTGTAAGCAAAATTTTTGTTTAATTAAATGTGTTGTGCCATGTCTTTGCAATTGTGAAATATACTAGCAATTTCTTTATTTTTTATGATTTTTTTGTCTGTAATTCAAATTAGCCTGTCAGTTCACTATTACTCTCAGTGAAAGGTTAAGGCATACAACTTACAATTTTGCCCTATATAGTCATTCCTATTCCATGCATCTATATGAAGCATCAGAAAAGTTTATTATTAAATGTATGATTAGATTGACCCTTCAGATGAGAAATATTCTATAATTAATTTATATTAGTTTGTGTGTGTATGTGCACATTTTTTCCCTCATGTGAATGGTTGTGTCCTTATATGCATGTAATCTGAGGTGCTTGGTTTATTTAAGTTATTGTGGATCCAGTCATTTCAATCAAGTATGGCATTCACATCAGTTAAGTTGTAGTGAGACGTTCTAGGAGGTGTTGACAGACCGCACAAAAAGAGCATGCTAAAACGTTTAGTCCATCTCCACGGTTACCCGATCTCCTGCACAGACGGGAGGTGCCTCATTGGCTGCCAGGCTTGGGTCACTGTGAGGTTAAGACAGTGTGATGGATGGACCTCTCTCTTTCTGTCCTTTTTACTCTATCTACCTCTCTATACCCCCCATTTCTTCCTTTTTTTCTATCTGATGCTTGCTTGAACACCCCTCTGTAATGTTCTTCTTATATCATCTTTGCTTTTATAAATTTAAAATTAAAAAATACAGGCTTTATGTATGACAATGAGAGTAAAATTCTGTGTGTATTGTGTTTGTGTTATTACAGTACAGTTCCTTTTACTGAAAGGACGGTTTACTACATAATCACAAGAACACAGAAAAGAAGCTTCACACTAAAGTGAAAGTCCTTTTATAACCTGAGACAACACGTCTCATCTTAAAAGTACAATTGCAGCTAATATGTAAAACATTCCTCTTCAGCTTTCTACATGTATGGTCCAGTTCCATCTTTAGCTGTTTAAGGATGGACATTTGGAGATGTTTTCGTATGCTAGTGTTTTTGTCAACACAGGAAATGTCTGAAATTTAAGTAGCATGAGCATCATTCAAGCATGTAATCCCTGTAAAACAACTACAATTATTTAAGAGAAGTTTTATATTTTAATTTAATTCCTTCCCTATCATGCTTGAAAAATATTTTCATGAATTGCAGTCCAGAGCATTTTTTAGTTATCTATGTTATATGAAAAACAATATTCTGTCAGAAAGAGTTTGATCTTTGAAGAAAGTATGTTTTTGCTATATGTGTGTTGCCAAGTTTGTATCCGAGTTGTATCTCTGTGTGTGTTATGCTTAATACTCTTTCCAATTAAAGCATTAGGTTTTTTTGCTGACCTGTTTTTTTTTCTGACGCTTTGTGTTATGTTATTATGGTTAGGCAAAGCAAAACCACAAGAAAATGAAAGCGTTTTGTGTTGATTGTTCATTTTTTCCTACTTTAACCAGTTACAAGTCAAACTGCATTCTTCTTGTTTGGATTCTTCCATATTCTTTTGCAGAGTTGGTAAAGTTTTTAATTTATACTTTTCATTAAAACAGGAGAGCATAACTGAGTGAAACTAGAACTTTTAATAAGAAGACTAATTATAGACAAAAATAAATTATAGCACATTTTTTAGGTTTAGAACAATGCTTTACAAAACAATGAATTGTAAGATCAGT